GGAAACTATAGAAAAATCTCATTGAGTTACCATGCAAGCAAGATTCAATTGAAGATTATCCAAAAATTACTGGAACCGCACATCAGCAGAGAACTACCTGAAGTCCAGGCTGGGTTTAGAAGGGGTCGTGGTACTGGGGATATTGTAGCTGATGTTAGATGGATCTTAGCTGAAATAAGGGAATACCAGAGGAATGTATATCTGTGTTTCATTGACTATGCAAAGGCGTTTGACTGTGTGGATCATAACAAACTGTGGCTGACTCTGAGAAGAATGGGAATCCCAGAATACTTGATCGTTCTAATGTGAAACCTATACTCGGACCAGGAGGCAGTCGTCAGAACAGAGCAAGGAAACACTGCCTGGTTCAAAATAGGGAAGGGTGTATGCCAGGGCTGCATCCTATCTCCATACCTTTTCAATCTGTATGCAGAACAGATTATCCGGGAGGCTGGGCAATATGAGAAGAAATGTGGGGTCAAGATTGGTGGATGATGTATCAACAATGTGCGTTATGCAGATGACACAACCCTGCTTTCTGAAACTGAGGAGGACCTGAAGTACCTGCTGCAGAGGTCAAGGACTGCAGCCTCCAGTATGAATTGAGGCTCAATGTCAAGAAGACAAAGATTCTCACCACTGGGCCAACTGGCAGCGTCAGGATGGATGGTGAAGAGATTGAGATTGTTCACAGCTTCAGTTTGCTTGGCTCCACAGACAACACTCTTGGCACCCGAAGCCAGGAAATTAAAAGTCACATTGCCATGGGAAAGTCTGCTGTTAGGGACCTCTCCCAAGTACTGAAGAGCAAAGGTGTCTTTCTGGAGACTAAGGTGCGTCTGATACAGGCCATGGTCTTCACAATCACTTGTTATGCATCAGAGAGTTGGACAATGACCAAGGAGGATAGAAGCAGAATTGATGCCTTTGTACTGTGGTGCTGGAGAAGAGTACTGAGAGTACCATGGACTGCTAGGAAAACAAACAGATTCATTGTGGAAAGGGTTAAAGCAGGTGGCTCCTTGGAGGCAAGGATTCTGAGGCTTTGTCTAACATACTTTGGACACGTTGTGAGGAGAGACCGGTCTTGCTTGGGAGGGTGGAGGGACAGTGCAGGAGGGGAAGGCCCTCTATGAGGTGGACTGATTCAGTGACTGGGATAATCAAGATGGGAGTGTCAGAGACAGTGCGAATGGCACAGGACAGAGCAGAGTTTAGGGCTGTTGTACACAAGGTCGCTATGAGTTGTAAGCGACTTGACGGAACATAACAACAACATATATAATGTTTAATCCCTATATATGTATGTATTTATGTTCATGTGTATGAATTAATTATATATCATGTTACATGTATATGTGTATTTATTTACACATATGTGTGTGTAATATATACACAGATAAAGTAACTGGGCACTGGTTTTGCAATGGTTAAGTGTTTCAAAAGTTTAGTGGATTGAACCTTTCAGCCACCCTGTAGGAGCAAAGAGCTGTCAATCTTTCCCCATAAATATTACAGCATAGGAAACCAATGGGGCAGTTCTTGTCGGTCCCATTATGACTGAAAACTGACTTGACAAAGAACAAATGCACAGGTATGTACACTAGTATGCTCTTGTGGCGCAGTCCACAGTTAGTTGTGTTGCTAACACAAAGGCAGCATCACTGTGGCAACTTGAATCCAACAGTGGCAAAGTAGGAGAAGTATGACCAATCTCTTCCTGTACAATCTACAGATACCTATATCTATCTATCTATAGATAGACATATTCTCTATATCTATACACACACACACGCACACTGGTGGCCTAGTGTAAGAAGCTGTGTTGTAATCCCAAATGCATGTAGTTCAAATCCATTGGCTGCTTCACCAGTGAAGGATGAGCAATCTCCTCCCATTCTGTGAGGAACTGCCTGTGAAAACCAGCAGGGAGGTCAGCTATGGGTTGGTTCTAACTTGATGGTAGGTAAACCACACACACACACACACACACACACACACAGAGTATGTGCAGGTGTATGTATGTGTATGTGTTTATGTGTGTAGAAAAATAAATATGGGACCAGTGCGACACTAATGAAAAGATCAGCAATTTGAGTCTACCAGTGACTTGAAGAGAAACACATGGGCAGTGTATTTCTGAAAAGAATGACATCCTTGGGGAGTTTCCATGAGCTGAAACCAACCTGAGATTAGAAGGTTTTGGTTTATATATAGATTACACCTCAGTGTACAGAAACAAAACAGAGTCTTCACAACCGGACCACTGACTAACACCATGACAGAGAAAAGACTGACACAGTCAAGGACTTTCCTTTGAATCTACAATCAATGCCATGGAAATAGCAGTCAAGAAATCAAAGGCCCACTGCAGTGGGCAAATCTGCAACAAAAGATGTTTTCAAAGTATTAAAATGAAAAGATGCTACTTTGAATATGCCATGAACTCTCAAAGGATCAAACAGATCTGTATTAGAAGAACTTCAGCCAGAAGGCTCCTTAGAAGCAAAGATAGCAAGACTTCATCTTACATACACTGGACATGTTATCTGGAGGGACCTGTTCCTGGAGAAAAATACTATATTTGGTAAAGCAGAAGATCAGCAAAAAAGGGAATGCCTTCCAATGAGATGGGGCTATCCTCACGACTGTGTGCAACAATGGGTTCAAGTCCAGCACAACGGTGAGGATGGCAAAGCTGGGCAATGTTTTGTTCTGTTGCGCACAAGGTGGCTGTGAGCCTGAATCACCTAGACAGGAGTTAACAGAACAGCAACAACTTAAATGTCACAAATTGGAGTATAACTCTAGTTAGTATAATTTAACTTCTCAATCCTACCTTTTCTCCTTTTTCACTGAACAGAAAACCTTGGTAGAATTTCAATTCACTGAAGACACAGGAGATAACAGAAATGGCACAGTTGTATGCAGCACAGTGATAAAGTCTTCTCCTCTCCATCAGCTGATTCTCCCCTGCCATGTTCTCTGTAAATGCATCATAGCACAATCTGTAGACCAGAGTCAGAATAAAAATTAATTTTAAAATGTGAAATCCACTGCTGGAGCTCAGTAAAGAGAATGCCTTCCAGGCCAAACTCCCAGAGCATCAAACCTGTGCTGCTTACAGAGTAACAGAAGCAGGGAGAAGGTCGGTGCACAAACACAGATAGGCACGAACTTGTCACTCTCATGGCCAACGCAGTGAGCAGGGAACCACCATGTAGGAATACAAAGATGGTGACAAGCAGAGAAGAGGACACAAAGAGGGATAGTAGCCCAGTCAAGGGAGCCAGGAAGAAGATGCGTTAGGAGAAAACATCAGAGCTGAATCTTGAGCCAAAGGTCAGTCAAAGGAAGCATAATATGAAGACACTTCAAGGAGACAGGAATCACAGAAGGATGGTGGTGCAGGAGAATTAAAAGAGCTGTGTGGCACGTGATGAGAAACAGAGGCAAATTCCTTGAAGAATCGTGTTGTTGTAAGACAGGGTGGCCGACTATTTTTGAAAATAGTTTTAGTAGTACATAGCCATACTATTTCCCAACTGGCTCTTTCTAGAATAGATTTCCTCTTCTAACTAGAGACCTCAAAATGTCAGAGAAGAATGCTGAGCAGGGAGATGAGACAGTCAGGTCTGCACCAGATAGTTCCAGCAGCAGTGAAGGCAGAGCAGGGGACAACTAAGATGGAGGCTGCTGCTGAGGTTTCCAGTGAGCCCAGGAGCTACAGGAAGGGTGCGTGCTTGACAAGAAACACAGCAGCCGCAATGCAAGGTTCCAGACCAGACAGCTTAAGCCTGGTCTGGGGACATGCACACAGTCTGGAGAGATGAAGAAGAGGAAAGAATAAACTAAGTCTGTGAATTCAGAACAAGAAAGGAAAAAAAAGACATTTAAGAAATGTTACAAAGCAAACCTTAAAACCTAGAAACTAATCAGAAGTGAGCAAGAAATTGCTATTGAAATCCAAATTAACTGAGATTATACCTAAGACTATTATTTCATGATGATTATAAAATAAAAACCACAAACTTAACAACAAAACCCAACCTTGGCTGGTCTGATTACCCAGGACTCAAACTCAGGTCTATCTATGTTCTAAAACAAACAAAGTTCTGGGTTAAACAGAGGTTAATCTGGAGGCAAATACAAATGAACTCTGAAACTATCAGTGGCTTCATCTACTGCTCTAGCAAACTGCTCCAACTGGAAGCTCCTTGACAATGCATCTGCTCAAAGTTGGTGCAAAGTTAGTGAAGCCACCTCCCAGGCTTCGGCAGGCAGAGGAAGTGTCTGTCCACAGTGCCTAGGACATGTAAGCTGCCCCTAATTTTGATGGCTCAGGAGCTTTTCTACAGGTCTGGTGTGCTAACTTTGACTTCACAAAGATACTTCCATGTGTTCAGCTGCAAAAGATACTGTAACTCTGAGTCTTTGCTTGAGTTAAGCTACTGCAAAGTCTGTGATTTTTATGAGTGATGTAAAGTAGGGGTCATCAGAGAAATAAAAATATTGTCCCTGAATCTGTCTAATTAGGAAAAGAATTTGAATCTTGATGTATGAGCCTTTTGAGTATGATATAAATCTTTGGACCTTATGCTCTAAGATCAACTTAGTAGTAAAGATCTTAGAAACTTAACTATAACAGAAATGTCTTAACATGAAGGGAAATGCAAGTTACAAAGAGTGTCTGATTAGACATTATGATTAATTACATTGATAAATTACAATTAATGTTATAACACAAAATGTCTTGGAAATGAATGAAAATAAAATATAATTTATAAACTTTCAGTCAACTAAAATAAATTTCACAAAATTAACAAATATAAAGTAAAATAAAATCTTACTTAATAAGTGTCTTTGTAAGTTCACTTCCTTCCGTAATACATGAGCCATGGAAAATCTGGTTGATTTTTGATTCCTTAGAGTGAACATCATCTTTTGGAAGGCGAGAATACATCACATCTAGCATCTTATAATATCCCATTTTCTTGGTGATTTGAGTATCAAAAGTAGAGTCATTTAACTAAGAAAAGGTAACAAATTATAATTTATTTTTACAAAACATAAGAAATCTGGGTAATTGGATCATGGTCAGGGAGATTTAGCAACTGCTATTACAATTATAATAGATCTGTGATACCTTTACAAACCTGGACTTCAACACCTCAATGGCATCCACAACAATCTTGCTAAAAAACTCTCTCAAAGCACTCAGAGTACAGTGTGAGAGCAGAGTAAGTAGTGAGCGATCTACAAATGCCTGGCGGGTAGCACTGGAGAGCAAGTCCTCCCTCCTGAACATTGTGTACACACTCTCTAGAAGAGCCACCTGTGTGGCACATGACGTCCTAGGAAAAAGAGAAAAACCATGTGAACATTCATGCTTTCAACAAATATTTTATCAGTGCAGCAATTATCAATGAAAACAACTTTAAAAATTAGATACGACAAATATCATAAAATGCAAACTGTACAAAATTTTTATCATTTTAATTCATTCTTTACATTAAAGTTAGGTATTAGGAAGGGCTTTTTCATTTACACTTTAATTTGGTCTTTTTTTCACCATCATTGAACATTCTTTTATTGTAAATGATCTATATACAGAAATACGGAAATTTGTAAACTTTTAAAAGTGAATAGCATTTTATAAACATATGAAAAAAACCAGAAAATTTTATGACCATAGAATTTACTGAAAATATCTGAGAATATTTAATGTACACTCACATAAATGACTTTCCCACAAACCTCATATAAAAAAATAAGAATGGCATTTAGTTCAATATTACTGGCTTTACTACAGACAATGAAATTGTTAGGTTTTTTTTTTTTATTGTTTCATGTTGGTGCTGGATCAAATTTGATTTTGCTTGGAGAAGATCTGAAAGACCATGAATCTTGTCATGAGGAAAATAAAATTTCCAGAACCCAAAAATCATGTACTATGATTTAAAAATTCTAGTCGCTTCCTAGTAATAAAATATCATTCCCATTTCCTATAAAGGGAAACAACTATTTGATTTTCTTATCTGGAAAATAGTATACTTAAGTGATCAAGATAAAATCTAAATTTACAAGAAAGTGAGCCTAACTAAGAAAGCCAGAACTAGTTAAAAGAATAATGGGGCAGAGAGTGGGGTAGGGAGAAAGGCTAGGGACTAAATGATCTTTAATCTCGTTTCAGTTCTAAAATCTCAAATATGCACCTAAATGACAGTGCTGGTGAAGAATACTGAATATATATGAGACCATCAGAACAAACACAGCTCTCTTAAAAGATGTACAGAAAGGACCAGAAAGGTCCTTAGAAGTGAGCAAGTGAGATTTTGTTCCATTGTACATATGAATACCTGGAGAAGCAGATGTTCACAATGAAAGCCTGGCAAAGTGATGGATTGATACAATGGCTGCAAACATACATACAAGGCTCAAACATACAAGAGATGGTGAGGACGCTGCAGGCCTGGGCAGTGATTCGCTTTATTGTTCAAAAGGTCTGAGGGCTACTAACAGCAACAAAAGAATAATCTATATGCAGAACAGATCATTTGGGAGGCTGGAATGAGGAGGAATGTGGCATCAGGATTGGAGGAAGACTCATCAACATCCTGTGTTATGCAGATGACACAATCTTGTATGCTGAAACTAAGGAGGACCTGAAGTCTTTGCTACAGAAGGTCAAGGACTGTAGTCTTCAATATGGATTGAAGCTCAACATCAAGAAGACAAAGATTCTCATCACTGGGCCAACTGGAAGCTTCATGATAGACTGAAAAGAGACTGAGATTTTTTAACAAACTCAGCTTGTTCGGCTCTACAATCAACACTTTTGTTACTAGCAGTCAGGAAATCAAAAGATGAATTCCATTAGGTAAATCTGCTGAAAGGAACCTTTCCAGAGTACTGAGAATCAATGATGAAGGTTTAGAGACTAAGGTGCACTTGATCCAGTCCATGGTCTTCACAATTACTTGCTATGCCTCAGAGAGCTGGATAAATAATGATAAAGGATGACAGAAGAAGAAATGAGGCCTTTGAGTTGTAGTGCTGGAGAAGATTCTTAGACGTATTATGGACCACCAAGAAAATAAATAGGTCTGTCTTTGAGAGGGTGAAACCAAGTTTCTCTTTGAAGGCTAGGATTTTGAAGCTCCATCTTTCATACTTTGGGCATGTGGCCAGAAGGAATCAATCCTTGGAGAAGAACATTATGCTTGGAATGGTGGAGAAACAGTGCAGAGGAAGATCCTGGATAAGATGGATTAATACAGTAATTAGGGCAATGGGGACAGATGTGTCAGAGTCAATGAGATTGGCTCAAAATAGAGGTTTCAGAGATATTGCATATTGGTAGCTGAGTCACAGGCGACTTGACGGCACATAACAATAACATACAACAATTACATAAAATACTTTTTTCAAATGTACACAGAATATTCTTTTTTTTTAAAAAAACTGTTTTAGTACAGATTTTCTGCTAGTCTAAGAAATAAGTTGTAAGGGACTCAAAATATGACTGGAGAAAGGCTATCTCTGCAAAGCTGTAGCAATGAGTTTAAGGACAGCTGACATTGTGAGGATGGCACAGGATCAGGCTGGGTTTCATTCTAGAGAACTTAAGTTCAAGAAACCTGACAATCACAAAGTGGTCTATCCTATGCAGGATGTGGTAAGCCATTCCCAGAGGGCCTTTCTTCAAATTTAACAAATGCAGGACATGATAGCCTTTGACCAAGGCATCTCAATGCATAACATTATTGAAAGTCTACTGTTTAATGGATCTCCAGCAACAAATAAACTTGAGAAAGAATATTTCATCAGAAAAATTTGTTCCACCCTTGTCCTGTGATCACCCTGAAAAACACGTATGTTTGCAATTATGTAGTTTGAATTAATCCTGCAATTCTATCTTTGCCATCCACCAAGTTTGTGGATTGTGATAGTCTACCTTCAACTCCATTGTCTTTTGTTCAGCCAATCACAATTCTGCAAATTGATTTTCTGCCTTAACTGAGGAAGTGTGCTGGTCACTTGCTTGTCCACAAGAAGAGTCATTATTATGTGGATTTGGATATTTCTATACCACCTCTGGAATAAATTGTGTTAGCCTTATATTCTAGGACATCTTCCAAATTTGTTGGCAATAGACAATTGAGCGCAAGTGTTGCAGCTGTTTATTAAAGCACGTCAGTAGGCATTCCTTCCATTCCGAGCACCGTAATTTTCACCAACACCTGTAGTGTATCTTGACCTTCTTACTTCAGCATCATCAGTTTTTTTATCACATGCTCTGGTAATGGTTGGATGCTGACCAATTCTTTTGGTACAATGACAGTATTCTTTCCATCTTCTTTTGATGCTTCCTGAGTTGTTATTCAATACTTTATCAGTTGAATCCTTCAACTTTGCATCTGTAGGCTTTCCCTGCCCCTCACCTCTCCCCTAGTTTATTCAGCATGAGTGTGTTTCTCTCCTTTGCTGCTTTTTAAAAAAAAATTATTTGTGTGTGTGTGTGTGTGTGTGTGTGTGTCTACCGTCAAATCAGATCTCACTGGTACAGGAGGAGATTGTCCCTCCTTCTCCAACAGAGCATCTGGTGTATTCAAACCACGTACCACTGGTATTGCAGTGCAGCTTCTTGCCACTAGAGCGCCCTCAAAAGGATTAATAAGCTTTCTCTTTCTTTTCTTTTTTTAAATTATTTTTTGTGCCTATACCTTCAAATCAGATCTGACTGGTAAAGGAGGAGATTGTCCTCCCTTCTCCAGTAGAGCATCTTGTAGATTTGAACCACATATCTCTGGGATTGTCTCCTTTGCGTTCTAACTCCAGTTCCTTGAACATTATATTAATCTTCTTGAGCTGCCCTCAGAGATCCTGTCAGCTCTCCTACTTCAGCATCTCTTCCTTTCACTTTAGCTATTCTACACTCAAAAGCATGTTTCATGTCTTTTGTCCATTTTGTAGTTGGGTTATCAGTTATCTTCTTGTGGAGCCCCAGGGGTATTCTTCAAACATTTATTATGAGACCCCTGTCTGAAATGGTATTGCCAAATGTTTGTTCCCGTTGGTAGGCTTTCTTTTCACTCTATTGGAAAAAGGTTTTTTTATGAGCACAAAGTTTTGACCCTTACAGGGTCCCATTCATCAGTTTTATCCTCTCCAGGTTGTGCATTTCACACTTCTCACAGAGGAAGACATTCAAGAGGCCAATATGAAAAAAATGCTCAAAATCACTGGTAATAAAAGAAATGCAAATCAAAATCACAATTAGCAGAGGCAGTAGCAGAGGCAAACTTTAGAAGGGCAGCAAACAATGAATGTTGCAGAAGATTGTATATAGAGAGAAAATCTTATACATTGTTGGTGGGATTGTAAAATTGTGCAACAACTCTGGAAGACAGTGTGGCATTTCCTCAAAAAGTTGAACACAGAAATTCCTATAACCCAGCTATTCCACTACTAGGAATACGACCCAAGGAAATTAGAACTGAGACACAAATGGAGATTTGTACACAAATCATAGCAGTGTTATTCTCCATGGCAAGAAAATGGAAACAGCCCAAATGTTCAACCACAACCCAATGGATTGAGAAATTGTAGTATAATGACAACAATGGAATACTACGCAGCACTCAGAAGCAATGATTTAGAAAAATACTACATAACTTGGGAGGCTAGAGAGCATTATGCTGAGTGAACTAACTCAGTCTCATAAAGACAAATACTGCATAAGGCCATTATTGTAAAAATAGAAGGATAACTAGTAAAACATATACAGGAACCTAAGATGGGGAGAAGGGGAAGTGAAGGGCTAATAATGGGTAGGGGTGAAACTACTGTACTGCAGTTTGGTGGGAGGGGGGAAGGATCTGAGTGAAAAGACAGGGTAATGACAGGCAAGGTCCAATGGTGAATGATTTTATAATGTATGAAAATGATTGTATGAAACACAATGCGAATGAATAATAGTGTGAAATACAATATATATAAACTTGGGGTGGGGGGAAACCCAAACCTAATGCAGGGGAATGACCGTACAAAACATAATGTGAATAAAGAATAGTGTGAAGCACAATGTATACAAACTTTGTAAGCAAACCAATACAAAATAAAAAATTTAAAAAATAGAAAAAAGTATGTGCGGGGTGGGGGAGGGGATTGTGTACCAATGAAGGATGTCTTTTGCTTTTCAAGGAGAGGAACGAACTGGGGAGAAAAATGCAACAATGAATGAATGGAATTCCAAAATCTCTGTAGATGTTCACTGAAATTAATAATAATAACAAAATTTTTAAAAAATAGAAAAAAGTACATGTCAGTCTCTTCTTACATGGATTTATTTTTTAATTTTTAAAAACTTATGCTTTATTCATATACATTTTTTATGTTCTCTCCCTTTAACCACCGAATGCTCTGACTTCCGCCTTGTTTTTCTGTCTTTTTGTTTTAGTACGTTTTGGTGTTATTTACATGTGATGTTCTTGATGTCATCCAGCAACACACTGATTTTCTGTCATCACTGTTCAGTGTATTCTTGGGATACTCCACATTCAGATGAAACACATTCAAAGTTCTACCACACCTGTCCTGGATGGTTATACCTCACCTACCTTACACAGTTACATCTTGCCTATCCTGGATGGTAACATCTTGCCTAACCCTGCATTGTTACACCTCGCATATTCTGGAATTTTCATTTCTACTTTTTTCAGCGTCAACCTGAATTTGTATATCAGCAATGAATTTGACTGTCTGCAGTCAAACTACAGCCCTGTTCACAATGATACTGCAATTTTCGAGCCTAGTTCAACATAGGCAGTCAATCCACATATATAGTCATTGTTTAGGTTTTAAAAATAAGTATTTGCAAGTCTGTGAATATTACCTATCACTGACAGCATTTTATTTCACAATAGTCTAATATGTTCTTTTTGGCAGTGACTGAGATGCTATTCCTCTTCAATTTTCAATTTGTCACTCTTGGCTTAATAGACCCTATGACTGTTCAACTCAAAATGGACAATCCATTCAATTTCAGCTTACTAATCTCTAGGAAATAAATTTTTATGGGTCTCTTCAGTTTTTGACAATTTTCAACTTTCCTAGACTCATAATTCATATGTTCTGCTTAAGGAAGCCCTAAGGCCCAGTCGATAGCAAGTTGTGCCCCAAAGCAAAGGCTGATTGTCTCTACAGTCAGAACCCCGCAGAGACTCTAGTGTGACTTGCAGTCCCGGAAATCTGATGAGGGACTGCTGTGAGTCAGAAGTAACTTGACGGCAAGGAGTGTGGGAGTCTTGTAATCTTCTGATCATTAATGGATGTTTGCAGCTATTTCTCCTCTTTTGTGCACTTAGCAGATGAAAGTCTTGAAAGTTTCACTCCATTCACATTACGAAGGTTGACTCTACTTTGAAGCAGTGTCTCTCCACCAGTTGAATTTTAATGACCTGTCAATCTGAAGAAGTAGTTCACCAGGCCTAGTCTATCTTAGTGTGAAAGCTCCACGTAAACTTGTTCATCATAGATTGTCCTGCTGCCATTTGAAAAAACCCGTGACATAGTGTCTAACATTACAACATTCAAGCCACTACAGAACAACAAACGGCAGGGAAACGTATTCTACAGCTGGTTAATTATGGTTTTTGGAAATTATCAGTAAAAAAAGGAATGCATTATTGACTTACTACATCATAGTTGATCTCAAAAACATTATGCACACTAAAGAAACCAGATATAAAGGATCACATATATTAATATTTCATTTACATGAGATGTCTAGAAAAGGCAAATATGTAAATGCAGAAAATACGTAAATATAGAAAACAGTTTACTGATCACCTATAACTGATACTTAGTGTTTTGTGTGCCATAGAGTCAGAACCAACCCAAAGCTAACTCTCCAGCAGGTTTTCAGAGGCAGTAAATCACATGGAGGTAGAGAGCCCATCCTTCTTGGACAGAGGAGCTGGTGAATTTGAACCTTGTGTCTTTGGGGCTGCAGCACAGTTTTTTACAAGGGACTGGAGTCTGGGGTTTTATTCCCATATTTTATTAATCAGTCCTACCAAAATTTAAACTTGTGTCTATCTGAGCTTAAACTTTACTGTTTGTAAGATATACAAACGCTAGAGAAACAATAATAGTTAAATAATAAAAGTTAAATAATAAAAACCGGAAGAAATCTAATACATCCAGACGGTATTATTACAAGACAAGTAAGAGGCTTTGCCATGCCTGGACCTTGTTTAGATCTGAACACCAACAATCCAAGAGTGTATGAACACATTTGAGACAACGGAGAAAATTTGAAGGTGGAATTACAGGTAGTATTTTTCATTAGATAATTACCGCATCCAAAATTATATCACTTTCTATTGGTGCATGGAGTAATACTTACAGGTGAAATGTGATGGTGTAAGAAACTTGCTTTAAATTAACAGCAAAAAGAGAAAAGAGACAAGAGACAAGATAAGAAAAGATAAAGATATTTGGAAAAAGATATTGGGATAAAGATAAAAGATATTGAGAAAGAAAAGATACTGGGAATCTGCTGGCCTAAGCAGCAGCTGGGAAGATGGATAATTTAGCTCTAAACTTTGAGGACAATTGAAAATTTTCTTGACAAAGTTTTTCCATTTTTTTTTTTAAGGAAGAAGAAAAACAGAGCAATTTAAAACTAAAATATTTCATCTTAAGATAGCAAAGGTTGATTGTAATTGCCACTCAACTTCCCAAAACAGAAAAGACTATCTATTCTGAAAATAAAACGTTCAGGATGTTGGAACTCTGATAGCATGACTTACCTACTGGCAACCCTTTTAAAAGTGGATTGAAATAATTCTTCCATAACATGTTGCTGTTCTCGACAAAGAATTTCGGTCATCAACTGTAGTAACATAGGACTCTGAGATAATTCCAATGCATCTAGAAACTAACAAACAAATAAATATTACTGATAAAAAAATTATTTGATTGACTTTTTTTTTAAGATCTTCATTATAAAAGCTATGGTAGTGGTCTGAATTCACCAGCTACTCCGCATGAGAAAGATGAGCAATCAACTCCAGTGTCATTTACAACACGAAATACCTGCTGGAAGGTCAGCTATGAGTTAATTTTGACTGGACAACAGTGATAGAAAAATATAAAATAGCCAAAACAATAATTTCATCTTAATTCTTTCCTTAACAAACAATAAATGTTCCTATTTATGGCATTTTTGCATATAAGATGAATGCTTGTTATGTAATAATAATCATTAAAGATTTGAATTTTGATGCTTTTAAAAAATTATTCATTTATATATATTTTTTATTAATTTTAATGAAAATTTACATAGACATAGGGTTTCCAGTCGTTCATTGTTGCACTTTTCTCCCTGCCCACTCCCTCCACCTAATTCATTCCTCTCCTTGAAAGGAAAAAAAAATTCTTCCATTGTTATGAAATCCCTCCCCAAGTACACTCCACTTTGCAGCCTTCACTCTGGATTTCTGTAATGACAAGAATACCCATTCATACATCATTTTTAAACAGTTCTCTCTCTCATATGTTTCAATGCAGTATATGTCATTCCTCCCCTCCTTTTCTATCTTCCCTCAATCTTGATGTCAGTCACGTTTTACAACAGCGGCCCTCTGCAATATTTGTCCTTTTGTGACTGAGATATTTCACTCAGCATAATGTCCTCCAGGGTCATCCATTTTGCATAATATTTCATGAGTTCCGAGCTTCTCTATCCATTCGTTTGTTGATGGGTACTTGGGTTGTTTCCAGCTCTTTGCTATCACGAACAAAGTCGCAATAAACACGGGTGTGTACATATCTGCTTGGGTGGCAGTTATGGTTTCTTTAGGGTAAATTGCCAGTAGTGGAATTGCTGGGTCAAATGGTATTTCTGTTTGCAACACAGCTTCTTCAAAGTCCAAGCTCCTGTAGAGATAGCCTACACTGTGTTTGCACAGACGTATACTCATTCTCCCATCTATCTTCACAATGTCTGTCCTACTCTCCAGAGAGACGTCCAATTTTATTTTCAGTCTAAGTTTGGTTCAGTTTTTTCTTTGAAATACGAATACATTTTTTTTTCTCTCATAAATATAGTATATTATCTTGTCTTTGAAGTTAGTCTGTACAGTTTTTTCTGATTCTTTTAAAATTATGACTTAAATGAAAAAAATTATGACTTAAATGCAGATGTACAAAGCAAACTAATTTCCATTCAGCCATTTATATACAAACAATTTTATAGAATTAATCACCACATTGTAACCATACTCTTTCTCTTGAGTCCATTTTTTATCTTTCTACCTTATGCCTTCTTGATTTCTGAACTTTATCTATGGGCAAATGCTTTTGAATGATGTCTGCTAAGGTCTGACCATCTCTCTAGTGTTACTGTTCACCTACTGTTTCGATTAAAGTTAAGCCACAGGATGAGTTTACTTTCAGCCTCAAAGGATGATTAATGGTCCTAATTCTTGTGGTTTCACTATTATTATACTATTAAAACAAAAAGTTGTTTTTACATGCTTTCGAGAAAGAACCTACTCATACTTGACCCTCCAGTGGGTTTTTGGAGGTTAGAAATCACATTGGGAGGCTCTGGTGGCCTGGTAGTAAGGAGGAGCTGTGTTGCCAAGCCAAAGGTACAGAGTTCAAATCCACCAGCTGCTTCACCTAAGTAAGATGGGCAATCTCTTCCTGGGTAATTTATTGCCTCTGAAAACACACATGGGGGTCAGCTATGAGTCTGCTCTGACTAAAAGGCAATGAACAACAACACATAACATCAGAGAAACTACTCATTTTCTCTTCTGGAGCTGCTGGTGGATTCCAATTGCTAGTGGGGCACCAACTCTGGTTTAGCAGCGCAACCCAAATCCAAATCACTTGCTCCATGTATCCAATGGATACAAAGGTTTGAAGCCTTAATTTCATTTGCATTCCTAACAATGTCTTCAGAGTTTTTCTGACCATTCAGTCAATACACCAGGCTCACATACTGTTGGTATGTCCTTGGAGAAAACCATCATCCTGGTGTAATGATGATACATACTTATACATATATATATAGAAGATTTCAAAGGACAGCTGGGGAAGACAAAGCAAAGTATGAAAATAAAATGGGCATTTTTTAAATTGGGTTATTTACCTTTATACTGCTGTGGTGCCTGAGTATTTTATAAATTCTAGATGTAAGTCCCTTATCTGACATGTATTACCAAATACTTTTTCCCAATCTGTGGTCTCCCTTTTTACCCTGTTGGAGAAGTTTTTGAATGTGCCTAGAGATTTTATTCTTAGGAGGTTCCATTCATCTATTTTATCCTTTCCTCAGGATATGAACCGACACGTCACCAAAGAAGGCATTCAGATGGCCAACAAACACATGAAGAAATGTTCAAAATTCCAGCTCCAAGAGAGATGCAAATCAAAACAACTATGAGATATCATCTCACCCCAGTAAGAATAGCAAATATTAGCAGAACAGCAAAATCAAATGCTGGCAAGGTTGTGGAAAAACTGGAATCCTTATTCACTCCTGGTGGGAGTGTAAAATGGTGCAACCACTATGAAAGGCTGCACGGCACTTTCTCAAAAAGTTGCAAATAAAAATACCATTTGACCCAGCAATTCTACTACTGGCAATTTATGTACACACCCATGTTTACTGAGACTTTGTTCGTGATAGCAAAGAGCTGGAAACAACCCAAGTACCCATCAACAAACGAATGGATAGCGAAGCTCTGGTATAGTCACACAATGGAATACTATGCCGCATTGAAAAACAAGGAACTCATGAAATATTATGCAAAATGGATACCCCTGGAGGACATTATGCTGAGTGAAATATCTCAGTCACAAAAGGACAAATATTGCATAGGGCCACTGTTGTAAAATGGGACTGACATCAAGATTGAGGGAAGACAGAAAAGGAGGGGAGGAATGACATATACTGCATTGAAACATATGAGGGAGAGAACCATTTAAAAGTGATATATGAATGGGTATTCTTGTCATTACAGAAATCCACAGTGAAGGCAGCATAGTGGAGTGGACTTGGGGGGAGGGATTGCACAACAATGAAAGAGTTTTTCTTTTCAAGGAGAAGAGTGAATTGGGGGGAGGGAGAGGGTAGGGAGAAAAGTACAACTGAATGACTGGAAACCCTAAGTCTCTGTAAACTTTCATAAAAATTTATTTAAAAAATTTAAAAAAAAATGTACAAAGAGCTAGAGTCAGAAAATCAAAAGGGCCGAACTTGACTGACATTTCTTAAGCTTGTTGTTGTTGTTGTTATGTGCCATCGAGTCATTTCCAACTCATAGCGACCCTATGCACAACAGCCCTAAACCCTGCTCTATCCTGCGCCAACTAACTAAAAAAGAAATTCAAGCCTCAAGTTGTAATACTTGAGTATGCTGCGGGAGCTCTTATAACCTGGTGGCAAGAAGCTGTACTGCAATCTTGAAGGAATATGGTTTGATGCCACCCGCTGCTCTATGGGAGAAAGACGGCGAATTTCCTCCTGTGCTATTAACTGCCTCTGAAAACCCAATGATGTTCAGCTATGGGTTAGTTCCAACTCTATGGTATACAAAAACAACATGTGTGTGTATATATATATATATATGCAGCAAATGAATTGCATGTGCTGACAGAGATGGCCACCTTAAGAGAATTAAAAGGAGTTATTAAAGTTAGGATATTTTTCTGATTCTACGTATTTCATCCACTTGATTTCATTAAAATATGCAACAAACAAACAAACAAACAAACAAATTTCAGTGTTTTAGTTGCATAGTAAAGTAGTCAGGGGTGGGGGGACTGTGTAACAATGAAAAAACTTTTTCCCAGGAAAGAAATGAACCAGAGGAAGCAGGGACACGGAGGAAAATGTGCGACAATAAATGAATGGAAATCCAAGTTCTTTATAATCTTTCTTTAAAATCTAAAAAAAGAACTAACCTTTTTCATGCAGTCCACATAGTTATTATAACGGAGTGTTCCTTGAGGAAATTCTTCAGACTTCATAGGAAAATTAGAAACCACAAGCCTTTCAAGAATATGCTTAAGATCTTCAAGCCTTCCTCCAGTAAGATTTGTAAAGAATGGAAGAATAATTATAGCTTGACTCTGTGGAGTGATGCAGACATGTGAAAGTGAAATAATTGTACTATACTGAGCTCATACAGTATATAAAATTATGTTGTTGTTGTTGTTGTTATGTACCATCGAGTCATTTGCGACTCATAGCGA